GGGGTGCTGAGTAATTTTTTTTCTGAAAAGGGGGCGGTAGGCCAAATAAGTTTGGGAACCTCTGGTGTAAAGTAAATGAGGAATTTTGCTTATAAAAGGAAGTTACAGTAAAGGGCTGAATCAAAAGAACTGAATTCTATTCTCACTGTGTGATCCAGGGTACTTAAGTTCAACATCTCTGTTTTCCCAGTTCCTAAAATGGAGATTTAAAAATTCCTTCCTAATGGGTGTTACAGTGCTAAAACGACAAGGTTTTCTGAGCTGGTAATGCCATTGAACTGTCGTATTTGTATCTCCTCTTCTGTGCGTATGTATGGCTCTTAGCTGGATGGAATGTCAGACCTGCCTATGGATGACATGTCTCTCTTTAATGGCTGTTAAAGATCCTAATATTAATTACTATACAAACGTGAATGACTGTTTCATGGGTTTCCCTACTCTTTGTGCATCATAGATCTCTGTATCCATTTTCTTTATTGCATTTTCCCATTTTAAGCTGATTGTATTTCTCTCCCTCCTTCATAATTCCTTTTTCTTCCTGCTACATAGCCTTTCTTAACTCATTAGCTTATAACTGACACTCTCTGTAACCCTTTAGAAAATGGTAGGCTTGCGGAAGCAATCTAATTTTCTGAATATGTTTGGTTACGGGATGATGAACATGCAGACTCAAAACTACTCAGTCTCACTATGGTTTCCACTTAATATTTTTTTAATGTAGAATAAATTACACTACAGGGTAAGAGGCTTTTGTGTGGTTATCGCACAAGAAAAGCTTGTCAGCAGGGAATGTCCAGGGAGCAAGAATGCGCATCCCTCAGTGTAAGGTAATCAACTTCCTCCTCCCAGTCAGATCCACACTTCGGGGCTGTAAGGAGATCCCCATTAACTTGGGGTGAGGGTCCCCCACTGGCCCGGAGATTAACTGGCTTGCTGCTGCAGGTATACCTGTTCCTGGGCATGTTGGTCCCGCTTGGACGTGCAGTGATGCCATTTTCTTGGGTCACCTCCCATTTCCTCATGGGAAGAAGCATGGCCACGACAGGCCCTAATGAATTGTTCAAGCTGGGACATGCCATGCACACACCTCTGAGCAGTCTTGCCTGCCTGTTGAGTCTCCTGTGTGGCTTTAATTGTGGCTCTGTACCTAGATCTTAGATGCTACAGTGGCTTTTTGCTCCCCTGCTCTCATGGGACTGTTCCTAGAACCATGGATGCATGACGTTCCTTAACTGGCATGACCTTTACCCTCCCCTAGTGGCAGTGCAGAAAATATCATTTCTTTTTCTCACAGCCAAGGCTGCCTCTGTTCTGAATCTATCATCTTCATTCTGCTGCCAACCCGCTGAATGAGTGTAACTTGACTGGGGAACTTCCTGTCTTAATTACTAGCTTGACATTGATATGATAAATGTTGGTATTTATTTTCAGAAACCAAGTTTGACCCAGCAGAATGGGGGGCTAAACTAGACGACAGGTTCTACAACAACAAAGCTTTTGAGGTAGGCTGGGATTGCTGCTCTAATGGGTCTCGTCTTAGTGCAGTGCACAGGACTAAAAAGCAAAATCTCACCAAATGCTTTTGAACTTCAGTTAGAATCATAGAATATCAGGGTTGGAAGGAACCTCAGGAGGTCATCTAGTCCAACCCCCTGCTCAAAGCAGGACCAATCCCCAACTAAATCATCCCAGCCAGGGCTTCGTCAAGCCTGACCTTAAAAACCTCTAAGGAAGGAGATTCCACCACCTCCCTAGGGAACCCATTCCAGTGCTTCACCACCCTCCTAGTGAAAAAGTTTTTCCTAATATCCAACCTAAACCTCCCCCACTGCAACTTGAGACCATTACTCCTCATTCTGTCATCTGGTACCACTGCGAATAGTCTAGATCCATCCTCTTTGGAACCCCCTTTTAGGTAGTTGAAAGCAGCTATCAAATCCTCCCTTATTCTTCTCTTCTGCAGACTAAATAATCCCAGTTCCCTCAGCCTCTCCTCTTAAGTCATGTGCTCCAGCCCCCTAATCATTTTTATTGCCCTTCGCTGGACTCTTTCTAATTTTTCCACATCCCTCTTGTAGTGTGGGGCCCAAAACTGGACACAGTACTCCAGATGAGGCCTCACCAATGCCGAATAGAGGGGAATGATCACGTCCCTTGATCTGCTGGCAATGCTCCTACTTGTACAGCCCAAAATGCCGTTAGCCTTCTTGGCAACAAGGGCATGCTGTCGACTCATATCCAGTTTCTCATCCACTGTTACCCCTAGGTCCTTTTTTCAGAACTGCTGCCTAGCCGCTCAATCCCTATTTTGTAGCAGTGCATGGGATTCTTCCGTCCTAAGTGCAGTACTCTGCACTTGTCCTTGTTGAACCTCATCAGATTTCTTTTGGCCCAATCCTCTAATTTGTCTAGGTCCCTCTGTATCCTATCCCTACCTTCCAGCGTGTCTACCACTCCTCCCAGTTTAGTGTCATCTGCAAACTTGCTGAGGGTGCAGTCCACGCCATCCTCCAGATCATTAATGAAGATATTGAACAAAACCGGCCCCAGGACCGACCCTTGGGGCACTCCGCTCGATACTGGCTGCCAACTAGACATGGAGCCATTGATCACTATCCATTGAGCCTGATCATCTAGCCAGCTTTCTATCCACCTTATAGTCCATTCATCCAGCCCATACTTCTTTAACTTGCTGGCAAGAATACTGTGGGAGACCGTATCAAAAGCTTTGCTAAAGTCCAGAAATAACACGTCCACTGCTAACCCCTCATCCACAGAGCCAGTTATCTCATCATAGAAGGCAATTAGGTTAGTCAGGCATGATTTGCCCTTGGTGAATCCATGCTGACTGTTCCTGATCACTTTCCTCTCCTTTAAATGCTTCGGAATTGATTCCTTGAGGACCTGCTCCATGATTTTTCCAGGGACTGAGGTGAGGCTGACTGGCCTGTAGTTCCCCAGATCCTCCTTCTTCCCTTTTTTAAAGATGGGCACTACATTAGCCTTTTTCCAGTCATCCGGGACCTCCCCCCATTGCCATGAGTTTTCAAAGATAATGGCCAATGGCTCTGCAATCACATCAGCCAACTCCTTTAGCACCCTCAGATGCAGCGCATCCAGCCCCATGGACTTGTGCTCGTCCAGCTTTTCTAAATAGTCCTGAACCACTTCTTTCTCCACAGAGGGAGGAGGTGACCAGCCCCATGCTGTGCTGCCCAGTGCAGTAGTTTGGGAGCTGACCTTGTTCGTGAAGGCAGAGGCAAAAAAAGCATTGAGTACATTAGCTGAATGTTGCCATTGTGATTATTCTGCACATCTGAGGAGTGTGGTAGGATAACGTACTTCTGTGCTATGGACAAGACATGGTTTCCAAGGAACAGGCTTGGTGAGAAATAATGCCAAGGTTCTTAACCTGGCTCGCCACTTCTAAGTTTGTCCTCTGAATAAACAGGGGCACAAAGTAAGCAAGATGCCCCCTATGTGGATGATCCGTATCCAGCAACATGACTTCTGTCTTCTCAGGGCTCTGAACAAGGCAGTTCTGATGCAATGTGTATCACCCAAGCTCCCCTCCAGGGCAGAGACTGAGCTAAGCGGGGTCCATGATACAAGTAATATTCCGCTATGTTGTACATAGTGGTGATGCCCTATCTTGTGTCTAGAAATGATCTTGACAGAGGACCTAATGTATATGTTGAACAGGAGAGATAGGGTTCAAGGTTCTAGCTTGACTTCCAGACACATTCACTGCTAACTTAAAAATTGGGGAGGGGTAGCTCAGTGGTTTGAGCATTGGCCTGCTAAACCCAGGGTTGTGAGTTCAATCCTTGAGGGGGTCATTTAGGGATCTGGGGCAAAATAATCTGTCAGGGATGGTACTTGGTCCTGCTGTGAAGGCAGGGGACTAGACTCGATAACCTTTCAAGGTCCCTTCCAGCTCTATCAGATAGGTATATCTCCATATTAAATTGGAAAAAAAAATGAAAGTCAGTAAACTCCTCAGGGCAGGGGTCTTGTCTTGTCTTATCTGTGCTGGTGGGTGTTTTGCCCACTCTTGGGTGCTGTTAAAACAGTTAACAATAATGGTAACCAGGTGCCTTATGAAATCCAGTCTTCAGTCTGCACATCCCCATTCATGGACGTTGAGCTAATGCTTAAACTGAGAAATGGGACCAGGGGAATTACAGACTCACACAGATGGGGAGAAGCTGAATTTCCATTTGGGATCCTTGTTCTGGAGCAGTCTCCAAGGAGACTCAGACTTGAGCTCTTTCCTATTATGAAGGAAGGGTTGGTTGAACCTTTATTTTTTTTTCTGTTCTTCTTCCAGGAGGCCGTATCTTTGCAAGAAGAGGTGAAGGAGTCGATGAAAGATTCATCCCTGGAGCCCGTAAGTAATCTCCCAAAGTCTGCCTGGATTTTGACTCTGTTGGAACTGCATCTTGTGTCCATGTCCAGATGGCTAAGCAGGAGTTGGAAGTGCTCCACCAGTTCCAGGGCAGCTCTCTCCAAATAATCTGAAGAGAGAAAATCAAGGTCTTTTGTTCCAGCTGGTTTAGGATTTTCCCCTTTCTACTGTTCAATGTGGTTTCCCAAAGAGTGTGGAGTCAGATTCAGCCCTGGGGTGACTTTTCCCGTAGAGTTTCACCGGGGATGCGTTTGTTCCATTAGCATTTATAAAGCAGTTCATTCCTATCTGCAGAGAATTTGCCTTTGTTGTGAGGCTCTGTGTCCCTCCTTCCCCATTCTGGATGTTAGTGTCTAGATCACTGAGCTACTGAAATCATTTCCCCCAGCTAATTAGTTAATATGATGCTCTAACTGCAACTTGGTGTGGTATTTGACTTGCTCCTCTCCATCATTCTCAGCTGGGGCACCTTGTTGGAGGTTGGGGAGCCTGATTTGTATCTCCCACTGGAAATAGGTCTCTCTTTTTCTCTCCCTCTGCCTAATAACTCAGTCTCTGTCATGCTTGATAGTACGGTTCAGGCATACAGTGCTCATCATTTTTAAAAATCAACATTTGCCAACAGTTATCATCACTCCCTGGGAACAAGAGGCCACCATTTCCCCCCGTACTTAGCAGGAAATAACCATCGTATCACACACCACCCAGTAGTAACTCTTGGCAAATGCTGATAGTTTAATGGCACCGTTAGTCTCCCACAGAAGGGAGCTTCGTGTTCTAGAAACTCTGAGATGAGCAGTTGGTCTTTAAATAAGGACCAAATCACAATGTTCTTACTCAGACGAGACTCCCAGTGAGTCAGAAAAGTTCTGCCCGAGTAAGGGCCTCAAGATTTGGCCCTAAAAACAACCCCAACAATGATTAGATCTGTTGCAAAAAAAAGATAAAGATGACAAAACACATTTAGTTTCCCACTCAACCTTTGGTTCCCACACAGCTTCCAAAATGCCTTTGAGAAGCAGCAGTTTTCAGCGGCTGCACATTATGCAGATTTACTGTAATTTAGGCATTCGTTTTTACTACAAGAAAATAATCAGCCTGTCAGCTGTTTACGGAGCCCTTTCCTCTGTGGTTTTATTTCTTTAATGAAGGAGCTTGACAAACACAGCCTCTATGAAACAGCCACCCATGAAATAGAAGATAAAGCTGCCACAAAAATCCAGGCTGTCTACAGGGGATACAGGGTAAGAGAGACAGTGAGGAGACTGAAAGAACTAGGTCAGGATGCAACGAACCCCACGGAAGAAATCTAATGCCATTAGACCTGCCAGTGTCATGATTTCCAGACTAGATGCAGGTGAATGAATGGCTTGTTTGTCAGTAGGTTTATTTTTGTTTAATAAAAACATCACATTTTCAAAATGCACCTGAGCGCTGTGTGATTTTTTTTTTTTTTGAGTCTGTTTGCAGAGCTGCTCGCTCAGTCTGTCATCGGCACAGACTCATTGAACTTCTCTAGCAAGTTGGTTGTGATCTGGTAAGCCACAGAGAACTGCCTTTTTGCAAATGTTAGTTCTAAAAGCAAAAAGTCCATTGCCTGAAGCATGTCATTTACTGGCTGCGTGTTAGGGTCACTGTTTCCAAACTCTCCCCAAAGGACGACAGAATGGGAAGGGGGCTATGGGAGCAAACACCAAAGATGTTTTCTGCATCCTGTTGCTTCTGCTCTGCTCCGCCTTCTCCAGGTGTGCTCTTGCCTTCCGTCCTCAGGTCTAGAGCACAGGGACTAGACCTGGGGCCTGCTGCCTCCAAAGACTGGGCTGGACTGGACGATGGAGTCAGTCTCTCTCTCTGGCCTGATGACTAAATATTTATCCACAGTCACTGGACCAGAGAGACTGAATGGGAGTGACTGTAATCTAGTGATTTGGGCATCCACCTGGGAGATGGGAAGCCCCAAGTCCAGTCCCCCTGCTGTACTCACTCTTTCATTATTTATCCAGAGTGCAACAGCTTCAACAGGAGAGAGGGGGGGGAGCCCGCATCCGAATATCCCATAGATCAGTGGTTAGAGCACTCTCCTGAGAGGCAGGTCTCCCTTCTCTCCCTCTGCCAGAACCTCAGTCTCCCACATCCCAGGTGAGTGCCTGAGCCATGGGTTCAGAGTGAAAAAGTGGGCTGCTGCTCCTCCACTGGCCAGATTTTAAATGGGACTGATCCAGTAGGTGGCCTCTGAGCACGCCTACTGGATTGGGCCCCGCGTGTGACTTAGGTGGCTGGACGCCTATCTTCCTGTTCTTTGTGAATCGCTCTGGGGCTTAGGCATGAGGTAGGTGTCCAGGCACCTAGAGAAAGGCAGCAGTGCCCATGTTCATGGGCAGAAACACAGGCTCCTACGCAGCTTTGACTCTGCAAAGCTCGGTGCTGATTGAGTTTAGGCACCTACAGGGTTCAGGGGGGGTGCTGTGGTCTGCAGTGCAGCTAAAACTGGATTTAGGCGCCTACATCTGAGGTTTAGGCACCTAAGTACCTTCATGGATCCCACGCCGTGCACCACGGTTTCCCCATTGGTAAACTAGGGATAATTTTGCCGCCTTCATAGTCGGGGGCTCTAGGCAATGAAACCATGTTTGTAAAGTAGCTCGATATTCCTGGTTGAAAAGATGCTATAAAAATGCAGTATGTTATTAGATTTATGCCTGGGAAAACAATGAAGAAAATTGAGAACAAAAGACTGGATTTAATATTTGTGAGGACTGGGAAGACCCAGGAGTGGTCATGCCATACACAGGCTTGATTCTGCACTTTTTAGCTCTTGTGTTGTCACTGAACCTGCATGCAAAGCGGGTATGAAATGTTACCCAGTGGAATGTTGGCATTTTGCACTGAGTTTGCACGGCACCTGCCCAGCGTGTGAGAAGCAGGGGGTCAGGTCCACGTCCTGTCTGTTCTAGCTCACTAGTCTGAATCCAGGCCAGGTGAGCACAGCTGATAATGTATAGCTCTTTGGTGCCCTGTGTGAATTGATGGGGTCAATCTCAGTCCAATTCCTATTAGAGGTTTAACTGGCGTGCTAGGCTGATGGCTAAATTCTGTTTATTCTACTACCCTTCTTAAGCACTAAACTTAGATATACATATATTTTTTTAAGGGAACACTTCTGTTGGGACAGAACCTGACAGAATTCAGCACTGAGGCTGTCACTTTGTCTTGAATCAATAGTTTAGAAATATTGTAACACAAAACGGAACGTAGTGATTGAAGAACAAAAGCTCCCTGCCAGCCTCCGCCCTTCCTGGGGTGGAGGATTATCTCATCAATTGGGATCAAGACACTTTTTAATGAAAACTTAATAAATTGGCCCCAATAATTGGGCGTTCTTTCCCAAGGTCCCTGCAGTTATTATAATTGCTCACCTGAGATTTCTTACTCATTGCTCGACTTTTCAGGATAAGAATGCTCGTGCGATCGTCTTGAAAGTCCCTGCCGGAGCGTCTGAAGGAGGAAGAAAAGATATGTAAATGTGCACATCTCTAGATTATATTTAATGCTCTATTTTTAGTTTTCTTGTATCCCTTGAGGTTGTCACAATTTAGTACAGATCCCTGCTTGAACGAGGGATGTGACATCTGCTATCATTACAAACCCCATCGATATGGTTGGTGGTGGGGGAGGGGAGGCACTGCGGTGCTGCAGTTAACGTATTTTACAGTCTCAAAGTAACTTCTAGCCACCTTGTTTGGATGTGCTGGGCCTATGCTGGGTAACACATTTTCCATGGCTGCTTTGTTTCGGTGACATGCCAAAGGGGCTTCCATTCACGTGAGTGAACTTAGCACTCGATGGATAAACTTAAACATTTCTAATGTACTAAACTAAGTTCACTCTTAATTATTGTACCACTCGACATGAATGCTGGAAAAATGGATCCCAAGCACTGAAAATTAAGCAGTAGCGTTGAGTCTTTAGGACTAAGGCTTCAGTACAGAAGATGGTGAACAAAACTGCATTGAATTCAGTGGGGTCACTCCTGGTTTTTACTAGTGTATATGCAAGTAGAATGAGCAGGCCTGATTCCCCTTGCCTTGCTCCTTGGGTAGTCATTCAGCGGTGTAAAATGCTACCAACTCAGCATTCCTCCCTCATGCAAGGCTGTGGAAAATCTCTCTCTGGTATATAAACGCTCTCCATTCCCATAGTATTTGAGCACCTCACAAACTCTAATGTATTTATCCTCCCATACCCTGGTGAGGCAGGGAAGTGCTATTATTCCCATTGTACAGATGGGGAACTAAGGCACAGAGGGACCAAGGCCTGGATCCTCAAAGCTATGTGGGCACCTAACTTCCATTGGGATCAATAGGAATTAGGTGCCCAAGTACCTTTGAGGATCTGGGCCTAACTCAAAGTCCCACAGGCAGGGCTAGATCTACAAAGGGATTTAGGTGCCTAAGTCCATGCTCAGCTGACCCCGAACCTGAAGAGTTTCTGCCAGTGAGCATGTGCACAGATGCCTAAGTCCCGATGCCTGGAGTCTATCTCACAGCTAAGCCCCTGTGGGATGCTCAAACAAAGCATGGCCCTGCTCACCTTGCCTGATCTGGTAGGCGTTGTCAGCGGTGGCCTAACCGATTGGGCCCTGCACAAAACACCACTGGAGCAGGCGGCGGCGGCAGCCCCCTTATTACCTCTTGCCCAGTGGTTGAAGCACTCACCCGGTCTGTGGGAGACGCCTGTTTCAGATCCCCCTGTTAGGTGAATG